CAAGCCTTCCTTTCACTGTGTCAATCGATTCAATGGGTCCCTGCAAGAGGGTTTGATTCTAGCCAGCCAGCCCTTTCTCACAGCAAAGAGTTAAGTTCGAACATTTGGGCTAACTTCTTGAACCACCCTTGCTTCCCAAATACCGCATTCTGCATTCGCTCCCTCCCCTAAACTCTCATGTGCCATATAGGACTTAAAATAGGCTGGGCTGGTAGATGTAATTCTTCTTATTAGTAGCACCTTTTAATACTATGGAACAGTACAGATTCTGTTCAAGGGGATATAAAGTAAGTTATACACAGCATATTTATGCGTGGTGGACATAGTTAGAAATGTTATTACATACTACTCAATGAAATGCATCTTTCCTGAGAAGGAAAAATTGTATTTATTTATTTGCAAATCTCAGTCAATAGCTGGTTGACGCTGTGCTTAGTACAAAGGGTACGTGTGTGTGTGTGTGTGTGTGTGTGTGTGTTTATGCCTGCATGCAGATACAGATGTGCCAGTGTTTAAAAAGCTGCAGACTCTGCCCAGAAGAGCCTACGTTCTTTTAATGCTTTTAACATCTTTCATCACACCTATCACATGGTTGTATAACTCTCTCTCTTGGCATGCTGCTTACCTCTGCAAACGCACAAGAACTACCTTGCTTCTCTACACCTGCTTGCTGAAATGATTTGTCCCTTTAGGGCTGCTATTGCAGGCACAAATGAAGCTATGGACTAAACCTTGGCAAATGCAGAGACAGTGATGAGCTTGTGGTGTTACCGGAGAGACTTTTGAAACGTGCCGTTAGGTCTGCTGAGCCACTTTGCTCCAACCACCGCTCATCGCGGCCTATGTTTATTTGCCATTTAGACCTATTCAGCAGCAGAGCTAAAACACAGAGGTAGTAAATCCCACCATGATCTCCTCTATTATAGGACACACTTTATTATAACAGAATAAGGGGTTCAGCTCTGCTGGACCAAATCAAGCTACCCTGTGTGAAGTATCACATTTTAGATTCAAATCCCTGCTAAAGCCTCTGCTTATGCTTGTGGTTAACATTATTTTTTATATCTGTCTTCAGAAATGACAGACAGAAGCAGCTCACACATAGCAGCAACAGCGTCAGCAGCTTTTAGAGGCCAACTCCATAGATTAAAGGGCGATACACTGAGCGCTGAAATCCCACCACCCCAGTGGCTACTGATTAGGTTGGGAGAAAAGCTGAGTGACAAACATGTTTCCAATCTGCCCAACCCATGCAGCGAAATGGAGCAATCTGGCCTGAAAAGGGATTTAGACTTTTGTTGTGCGCAAGGGGGGAAAAAGCTGATTTAAATCCATCAACAATGCTCTCCCTCTTGGTGATCTCAGAGGTAAGGAAGGGAGTCTGGACACAGTTCATATCCTACCTCTCACCAGGCCCCACACTTCCACTCAAAGACAAAAGCTGGCAGATGAGGGCAAATGATGCTATCTTGCTGTCGAGCAGCCTGTTCACATAAGAACATGTTGTACAATATATGGAGCCTGCCTGGAGCATTTGATCTAGCTATTTTTAAAGTGACAGTGAATCCGCAAGTCATGCCTATAGGGAGAGAAATATATGGCCTTTTAGTTCATCAAGACTATTAATTATGTGGCACTGTATTTGTATGGCACTGTATGTGTACAAAGTACAAAGAGAAAGAAAGGTCTTGCTCCAACTTGTTTACAGTCTAAACTAGACAGGCATTTACACACCAGAGAATAACAACAGCCTACAGCAGGTAGAAGTGGGGCAAGCAAAGAGGAGACACAGCAAAAAACAATGGAAAAGGAAATAAGGTTTCTAACAGAGAGCTATTAGATCCCCTTACAAGGGAAGTAAATCACATGGTTTCCCTTATTCTGGTTATTTAATATATGCCATCCTATGCATTTCACTGTGACTGCCGTAAGGAGTGAGCCATTACATTCTCTCTTTATCTCTTGTCATAAGGACTGAGAATGAGGTGATAGCCCATTTTTCTGAAACCTCTCTCAGCCCCTTGGAAAAAAACAAACTTGGCTTGTTTCATCCCAAAGAGATGAAAAGTTGCCTGTAAGAGCAAATCTGCTCTTCACTTATCTTTAATTGCACTTATTCTTTTAAAATAAAATCATAATAAAACACCCATGTGCACATGCATGTGTAGAAAGTCAATCCACGCAAAGTGCAGAGGCTTGTTTTCTTGTGGTAGAAATGTAGATGATGCCCTGTGACAGTTGTGAAGAACGCCAACAAAATGGTTGCTGGAAAACAGCAGCGACAGCAGCAGCAATCACCTCTGTGACTCTACGGATGCCCCTTCTGATAGGCATTAGTGCAGGGCTTTCTTGTTCACAATTATTAAAACAGACTTCAGCAAGCCCTTATTGCTACCATATTTAGAGAGCAGCATTCAGATGCAGATTGCCTTAAATCCCGTCAACCCATTCAAGCGTTTGTACGCAAGTGTGTCTGCTTCTGCATGTGTATATGTGTGTGCGTGTTTAGATGCATTTTTATATATATCCAATTCTCACTGTGCACACACCCTCTTCCCACCTTCTCCTTCAGAAAGAGCTAAAACTGTCGAAGATGAAAATGCGCATTTTCCAGGCTACTTTGTCAGATGCTCATGTGTGCGTCTTATAAATATTTCATACCAAATATTTAACATTATTCCTTCCCCAATCGGATCAGCTTTGAAATGCTCCTCAAAGTGAATTCTCCCCTAACAATGGCTTGACGCAAAAGCCTTTTTTCTCTCTTAAGAAGAGGAGGCTGCACATGGTCTGCTGCCATAGCAGCATGAATAGTTCTTATTTAATGGAAAATAAAAGATACTTTACATTAATTCAGTGGGGGATGGAAAGCTGGGCACATGCGTACCTCGTGCCTCAAACATGGAGGAGTATCATACCTTGACCTCCCCTCCTCAGGTCCCATGATTATTACCCAGCTTGCATTAGAACTGTAATGGGAAGTGACAAGTTTATGTAAATGATCCACGCAAGGATTTTGCTCTTGTAAAACAGAGCAGTTACTCTGGGCTTTCTAATTATTTCATGCCTTGTGGTTCTGTGATGGGGCAGAGATGACTATTACTTGAAAAGTATATTGTGATTGACAAGCCACTGTCCCCCTGGAACTCATTAAGGCCTGTGCTTTGCAAGAGGGGGTAGAAAACCCTATCAGGCACACCACACATGCGTGTACACACACACACACACACGCGCGCGTGTGCTCACACACACAAACACACATGCACATACACACTCACACTAGTGCCAATGGTTCCTGGAGATCATTTGTCGGGATTTTTGTGCTGGAAGAAAAAAGGGTAATCTGCATGGATCTCAAACAAGTGTAGCCTCCTGGCTACAAATTGACCAATTATCTCCCACTTCGCCATTTTCATTTTAAAACCTGTATGATTAACAGCAACATACCTGTCAAACATGCATCCAGTGTACTGGATGGAAAAGTCAGTTGTTTCATAGTAAAATATTCAAAAGAATGGGGAGCAGATAGGAGTTGGGATAAGAGGAAGAGGACTACTATAAAAGCTGTCACTGGTGAATTTTTGCTGCTATGTGATTTATGCAAGTGCCTTCCAGTACGTATGGAGGGCCATTCTGCTGCCAATGCGTGACCTGTTTGCCTTTCTTCCTTAATTGATTTTTCTGGCCTTCAGACTTGCAAACAAAATGACAATTTGTTTGGTGAAAGTAGAGCCCCTGTGTTGTGAAATGTACACGACACTTCAGCCATGCAGAGAGGAAAAATCCTATTCAGGCAGCTGCATTAATGCTTCCCTTTGTAGAAGCGGTTTTGAATTCTGCTGCTGGTTTTGGATGTAACACAGTTTAGCATAAAATCAATTCATTGTTAACTCTATAGTGGTTGGAGCTTATGGGCTCTGAACTCATGCAGAGTTTCGTACTTTTACTTGCTTTTGATTTGTGATTGAAGTGAACCTGCTGGAGACACTTAAGAACGGCACATGGCCCACCTGAATGGCCCATTAGTGAACACTGGCACTTTGGTCACTCTGAGCTGGCTCCACCTTTACAAACAATTAATAAAACAACCCTTTCGGCTTCTCAGTTTCCATTTGGCCAGGAGTGGCGTTTTCAACAACTCACTTCACTATGTCTGGAAGATTGCAGCAGGGGAAGTTTATGATTTCACTACTATGTTCCATAATTGTATCATATTGAAATAACAGCAACCCATCATCTCTGCCTAATAATTTTATTGTGTCTAATTTATCAGTAAATTTTCCACCAACACGTCTGGGTCATAGATATTCAACAAACAAGCTCATTACTCAAGATCCAACTCATCAAGCTTGGGCTAAAAGCTGTATATCATTGATAACTGATCAGCATAAAGAAGGAAATACAGTAAGAGAGAAGAAGAATAAAAACAGTGAAAAAAATATGGAAGGAAAATGGAGGAAGAGATAGAAACATCTCTGAAGTCAGTTACATTTGAGAGCACTGAGAAGTGAATACACCAGCAACTCAGGTGGATTTTCAGGCACACTGACCATGGGCTTCATTTGCCTCCTTTGAGGAAGCTCCTCTATTATGAGTCTCACAAGCACAGACATAGCTTAGTGCAAGGATTGTCAAGCTCTGCCTTTTTGAGGTAAATGTAGCTTGCAAGCAGTTCAAATGCACTCAGGCTGAGGTTGAATCATGCGGCCGAGAAGAAAACTCAGCAACCACGTAACCCTTTGCCAGTCCAAAATTGTGGCTGTAGAAGGAAGTGAGTTAGCAGGGACTGCAGAGGCCAGTATTGCTAAGTTTCTCTAGTATGTGGTTTTATGCCCTCCATTCCCGCTTTTGCAGGAAGAGGCCACAATCATCTCCTGCTAGTGAACTGCCCCTACAGCTTCCCCTTCCTTGCTTTCTGAGATACAAGTCTGATAGCTCTCAGCCAACTGAGGAGTTTGGCATGTAGCTTATTGGGAAAGGAAACGCCAAGGCATGCTTACCTTTGGTTCAGTGTGTTCACCTGCTGCATATCTCACTTGAGTCAGACTTCTTGAGAGTGAGAGGAAGAACATCATTTGACTTTTCATCTGATTTTGCAGGGCCAGCAGCTAGAAAATACATATTTTTATATATAAGCTGAGCAAGTGTGTTTTAGAAAACTGACGGACCATTTTTTGCAAAGCAGAACTGCCCACTAGTCATTTAGCACCAGCACAGTGCTTTTCTACTAAGTAAATTTTATGCCACAGACCTTATCTCTGCTCAAACCATTCAAGTTAACACTCCAGCAATAGCTCACAGTCTTCTTGAGCACCCTTGAGAGGCAGCAGTGGAAAGCTACTTTTTTTCATCAGAACATTTTTCTAGCAACTGAGAATCTATTGCACCTTCAATCTCATGCACCTTCAACAGTGAAAAATAAATGTCCTACAGGTAAGCCTTCTGCTACAATTCCCATTTCCAATTGGATCTACAGAGTGGTCTTTTAAATACCTATTCGCAGACTCAAACTGGAAAAAGTGGAGCCTTGGAAAGGCAGAGTGCTCCTTGGAACCAAATCTTTTGGGAGTTCAGACCCTTCTTGCTCCACAGATCCAGCAGAAACATTTTTTAGTCCTACTAGAAACCTTCTTTCACTGCTATAACCATTAGTCTCTGACCATACGGTTGCAGAGACAGTGATCAGTAGTTATGGGGGAAATATTTTATAGGCAAGAGCACTGTAGTCACTTCTAAAGAGATTGTCAAAAAGAAAAGAACTTCACCACAATTTGAAGAAAGAAAGCTCAACCAAGTTCACCAAGTGACTTAGAAGAATAGGTCACTTGACTCTGAATGGACACTCAGCAGTGAAAGGGATTGCCCAAAATCTATTGTACATTCAGATATGGTCATATTCACAGCCCCTTTATTTCAGCAACCCAATTGTTCTAGAGAGGCTTCACCTCATTCATTTTCATTCACTCTTCATTTTGAAGCGTACCAGTTGTGATCATATATATAAAGATTCAGATCCTAGGAACTCTTGATCATGAACACCTAGATGTAGCGTCAGCATCTGCCACTAACTCCACAGAAAAAAGAAGAGAAAAGAAACTAACAGTTTATTCAGAAAACTTCTTGGAGAGTTTGTTTATAAAGAGAGATTCAAAGAGTCTGAACCATTTGCTTCTGTGCTGGTGGTAATCGGATCTATTATGTTACACAGTAGAACTGCTGTCAGTGAAAGTCATGGGATAAATGCCTACACTCTATACTTTATCGGCTCTATACCATTACCTATGGAAAAAGTTAAGATGGTTCAGTTCATATAAGTACCTTAGTTCAAATATTTATGTAAACTGTGCTTTTAAAACCATCTCAGTTAAAATTCAAGCTAACATACTTCTGGCATGTTTATCTAGTTTCAGTGGAAGTGTCTGACCTCTATGTTGCTTTATGCGGGTAATGCAAACTGCTGTTAATGACATATTGTAAGTTCAATTCTGCTTATTTTTTAATGGAACAAGTCAGATGGTAGAAGTCACATACTATTTCTCTTATCTCAGACTGGTCAAGCCCCAAACCTTGCTTTTAATGGAAAAAAATTGCATCATTTTACTCAGTACTCATTTTACTTGTATATACACAAATGTGTATACATATATATACGCCTCTGTGTGTGTGTGTATAATATATATATAAAATATATACACATACACATATATGTAAAAAATATATATATATAACTGGTATACATAATAGACATGTGTTCAAGGTCTTTAGTCCTGGCTACTTCAACTTATGTAAATTTAATGATCTCCTACAGATTATGGAGCTTGGGGATTTGGCTTTCTTTTTTTAATATTTAATCGAACTGAAGGACTTCTCATACAGAGAAAGCCTCATTCTCTGAGGTCTATAAAACTGGGTTGAAAGGCCCCCAAATCACCTCTACTTGCAGTCCTCCTGGTGTATGCCTTCCAGTTTCTGAATTACAGAAACAAGAAACACAGCACAGGAAAATTAAGGCTAAGTGCAGAGCAAAATTTGATTTCAGCCCAGGAGGGCTACTCCCTCCAAGCACCACAGAGAACATGGCAGGGTTGCAAGTCTGAGGTGGTCATCAAAGTCTCCACTTTTTCTGAGAGAAAAGCTGAACTCCTTCAAAGAGTACATACCATCCACACAGCACTACCAGGGGACAGACACGGCCAGGGCGTTCTAAACTTGAACTATCCATTTAGTTTAAATATGTTATAACAGCAGATGTCATAGTTAAACATATCAGAAATCTAAATCCCAGCTGGATGTAACAAGACAGATTCTGTCAAACTCATATGCTGAAGGTATAGATGTTCAGTGTGAAACACAACCACATCCTGAAGGTCTCAGTAAAGAATATTTTCAAAATACCAATCTTAAGCATTTAGGGAAAAACAGGGGTCAGCCCATTTCATCACAGAACTAAAACCATACAAAGTTTCAAAACGAGCCGCATTTAAATCATTCGGGTCTAAAATTTATGTCTAGCCCTTCTGTCTGAATCTCTACTCCTTACCTTGCCCCCACCCTGCTGTGAAATGTGCAATAATTGCACAGCAGATGACTTTTGTTTTTTAAGAACATGACATGGCCATTATTAATGTGGCCTGGTATTAGTCAGTTTTTCTTTTCATCTTTATCAGACATCTATATCTCTCTCAGAGGCCTTGTTTACATAAAACAGTGCACTTGGATGCATGGTGCTTAATGAGTTTCTGTTATAACCAGAATAGAGCAAGTAAAGTACACTACTCTTTCTAATTATGAATCATTTGACTGCGTTAAGAGAAAGAAAACTGTAGCAAATGGTGCCAGAAAGCTTTTTTCCAATTTTTTTTTTTTATTGCTATAAAGAGCAGCCATAAATTATGAGTTAGGACAATGTTGCTTTGGCTCCAAGCAGAAGCAGTAGGAAGGGAAAACCCCCCAACTTGCTCATATTTCATGCTCCAGGGTCAGTGAGTGGTTTCTTCCTACATCTAGAAGGCTCTGCCAAGGATGGTAAAATAAAGTAGGCCAAACTCTGCTCTCAGGGGGATCTGTCTAAACTGGGGGTCCTGAGAGCACTTCCCAGCTCCAGATTCACGATTTCCCTTGAATGTTGATGAGCCTGGGGTGCACACAGTCCTGATACCTCCTACTTTCTTTTGAAAGAAAACTCAGGTGAAGAGGCAGGGAGGGAGTTGTGGCGAGCCTGTGATCTGGCCTGCAGCCCATGGCAGGGCTCATCTGCCTCAAAGACAGTGGCACCCTGGCACTCTACTCATCCCAGTACATTCTGATGGCCCTGAGCATTTTATTGCAAATTCTAAAATTGGATGGTTTGTTTTAAGAGTGAAACAAACTAATTTTGTCATCCACACACTGACCAGTATAAGGAGAGATGGCTGGATGGCAAACTAGGTCTATGCCCCTAGCTTGATCTGCATAGTTTCTACAAAAACCTATAGCTGAGAACAAGATTTGGCCCTTTTCTCTGAGATTTACCAATTTAGTTATAAATTACTAAAAGTCTAGCCCATAAGTAAGGCAAACAATCCCAATTGTTATTACTGCCAATTCCCTGGTGTGAGCACTGCACAGTACAACCACAGGCTGTCTTGTGCAAGCTCCCATGAAGCCCCAGCACAAAAGCAAACCAGAAGTAAGAAGGGGAGAATGGAAGTCCCACAGCACATGCTGTTCAAGACTATTCTGAGCCATTTCACTGAGAAACAACCATTACATTTCCAGCAGCAGCAGCAGGAGAAGAGAGGGTGCAAAGTTGCTCAAAGGCTGCCTTTGTCTCCCTCCACCCTCCTCGTCTTTTGCCTATCCTGGGCTGTGTCCTCCAGAAGCATGGCCCAGTATGGAGCCAGGGTAGCTCTGACGGATCTCTGGTAGAGTCCACCACAACCAGGGTGGCTAAAGGCTTTTTTTTTTTTTGTATACTTTATACTACAGTAAAACAAATGTGCCAGGTTAGCCAACACTGGCATCCTCAGCCAGGAAGTCCAAGAGAGAATTTGATGTAACAGTGAGTAACAATAGAGATATCTTCCAGTAAATAATGGAAAGCCGACTTTGCCTAACCAGGAAATTACTAAAGAGAATCTTACACTGATACTTATTCTGAGGTAAGAGAAAACTTCTACTGCAAGTCTGCAATAAACTCTGCTTTTGCTATTAAAGAAAAGTAGTAATATCCTTACATTCTGATCTTAAAATGACTATTGGATAAGATATTCCTTCCTCCACCAGAATTTCATGTTAAAATCAAAGCTTTGGTTAGCTGGAAGAATTAGGCAGATAAACTATCTTGACTTCCCATTTAACTTGTGGTCCATTATACGTTTGTTAGGAGGTCAGACTGCTGGGAATATCGTAAGTCATGCTGAGTGTAAGCACTCTGGAGTAAGAAATATATACGACGTCAGAACAAGTATGAGTCATAGAAGAGAAAGAGTTAACACAGTCATTTGTTAGAGAGAAAAATGCTCAGTGATTTGGGAAATCTCTGTGGCTCTACATATTGATGTTATTCGGCCAGGACACTGTTGAGCCTGGGCTGGGGAGACTTCTCTTAATGTTCTCTTAATCTCTTAATTGTTTTGATTTATTTCTATATGCATTATCTTTTTTAAATTCAAAAAGATCTTTTTTTATTAAACAATACCCAGGTTATTTCCCTGGCTGAAGACTGACACTTTGCAAGTAGGCAGGATTACAAAACATGATAGGTGTCTGTTAAAATAGAAACATGTACATAAAAGGAGTTCCAGATAGTCACAAACCAAAACTGTAACAGAACTCCCTGCATGTGCCTAAAAGACTGATCTTGCCTTGTAACTAAGAGTGTTAGCAAAGTGTGGATAATTCTTGGTGTTCTTACTGAGTTAGGAATAAAAAACTGGCTGTTTTCTCAAGATATAATACTTGGTGGGCTTGGAGTTTTCAGGGACACCAATCCAAAGGCACAGGAGAACAAAAGCCTGTAATTACTACAGAAAGCCTGAGCTGGTGTAGGGACTATGGTAAAAAGAAGCTAGCACCAAGCAAAGAGTTTAGGAAAAAAATTAAGCCTTTTGGAAGTCAGCAGATTATC